CAGATCTCAAAGAAATAAGCAAATCAGTGCACAAGACTCTGGAGATTATCTCTCTATTGAGTGAAACTGTGAGCAACACGATGGAAATATATGCCTCTGACAGTCAACTTCAACTCAAAGAGATCAACAAAGTCAAAGAGCAAATAGCGAGTGTCACAGTTAGTCTCCAAAAACAGATGTCCCTTCTCCAAATGGACATCAGATCAGCCCTAGCAGTAGCTTCTGCAAATCAGGTAGTGACCAAAGACTACTTGAAGGTGATCATTGACAATCAAAGGAAGCATACAAGCTGTTCAGACTTATTGGCGCAAATTCTGGGAACCGCAAGATGGAAGTAATTCTCCAACAACACAGCCCATCTCCAATACCACAGCTCCCTATTGCAGTCAAAGAAGGAGAAGTATCTTATATTCCTTCTCATCTGAACATGACAAATCTAATCCTTGAAGCACAGCAAAGAAATCCAGAAAACTCAGCACAGCATCTATCCAGCTCAAGACTGGATGGAACAGAATTTATAGGTACAGTTGTTGACCACTTCTCAAATGATGCTCAATCAGAAGAGAGACGTGAAAATTTAAGGCGCATCAAAGAACTGTGTGGGAACATGAAGGGCATCAGTGAGGTTGCCAGATCTTCAAAGCGCAAGAGAAACTGAAGGTTCTTTTCATCAAACCAAGGGGAAAGTATGTGAAAACACTAATGTGTTTTGATGAAAACACCTTCTTGTTTAAACATTGCTTGATTGGTTTAAACATTGCAACATTGCTTCAACAGTTTTCTAAATTTGCTTATTATGCTTGATTATGCTAATCTCAAGTATGATTCTGAGAATTTTTTTTTGAAGCGCATACATTCAGGGGAAATGTAATTCAGGGGGAACTTAACTAGTTTTGGCTAATAATTGTTTTGGCTATGAATTATTGATAAGCTCTAAGCAATGGAAGTCGGATATCTCAGTTTTGGTACTAAAATTGGAAATCTCCGATTCAGGTACTTTACAAAATTTGCCTTCTTAAACTAAGCTTTAATCTTTAATTCATTTCCAACTAGCTCTAAAAGTACTGGTCCTTAGGATTTCTATAATGTACAGGACTTTGGAATAATAGTACCACTTTTCTTTTAAAATTAAAATTCATATTTGTTTTGGTACTACCTCGTCCAATTTTAGAAATTAGAACTATAGGGAATGAAAAATGATAGTTTTATTTTGGGCCTTGAGAACCCAATAGGAATAATTTCCCTTTAGTACATAGCTTTCTTTTCTCTTTGGGCCACTCTTTTGGGCTTAGCCAAACTAAAACAGTTACGTTTCTCAAACCAAACGAAACTGATTTTCTAATTGGAACAGTTTCAATTCATTGGTAACTGGTAAAAGATTCCTTCCACTTTTCAACTTCTTGGAAGTTGAAACTCCTTTACTCTCACCGTTCCAACTACTCACTTAATGGAACCCGTGAACCTTCTCCTCCCCTATTTAAATCAAGACATTCCAATCCATTTCCATCACAAACAACTCTCTCAATATGAAAGTCTTCAAATTCACTGTTCTTTCTAGGTGGTCTAGTGCTCCTAGTTGATGTAGGTTGTCTATTATTGTTCATTTTAGTTTTCCTAGGTTGAGCCTTAGGTTGTTTAGGTGGTTGCTCAACTTTTTCTTTATTATTAGTTCCATTTTCAAAACCTAGGCCATGTTTAGTAAGTTGCAAATTATCAAGAACATCATTGAGATTTTTATGAGAAACACCAAACTTCTTTAAGGTTCCTTCAAGTTTTGCAACTTGTTCTTTAAGTGATGTACAAGAACTACATTTTGAACTTTCTGGTTTGTCGGCGCTTCTTTTTCCAAAAAACTTATTTTCTTCTTTAAGTTTTTCATTATCTTTTGATAATTTATCAACCTCCTTCTCTATGGAAGTAAGTTGTTTCTTTAAATCCTTGTTAATTTTAGAAGCATTGACATATTCATCATAGAGTTCATTAAAAGCTTCTTGTACATCATCTAAAGTATGGGAATCTTTAGAAGTGGTACATACCTCTTCCGGTGGTTCCTCGTGTGCCATGAGACAAAGGTTGGCGCTTTCATTTTCTTCACCTTCCGATGATTCGTCGCCG